CTGCTCCAGAAGAATAGAAAGGCTGCAAAAGGGAAGTCGTGGCTGCAAAGAGCAACTTACAATAGATACAATCATCACGGAGGAAGCAAAGGGCTGTAAGAAAGATCTGTTTTTGCATACATTGACTAGAAAAAGGCCTTTGACAGTGTTCCTCACTCTCTATTAATTGAAATGCTCCAAATATATAAAATCAGCCCTAGTATAGTGAGATTGCTGCAAAACCTTATGCCTCAATGGAAAACTAATCTTGTAATAACCCATAAGAAGAAAATATCAACATCGGTGCAATCAGCATTAAAAGAGGTATCTTCCAGGGAGATGCACTAAGTGCTTTATGGTACTGTATTGTATTAGCACCTCTATCTAGAATGCTGCACAAGAAGAACGAAGGTTATAAGCTTCAGAACAACCTACAAATAAGCCATCTAGCTTACATGGATGACATCAAACTAATATCTGCCACTAAGGATGGACTGGACAGGTTGCTTAAAACCATAAAGAGATACAGTGCTGACACAAGAATGGAGTTTGGCCTGGACAAGTGTAAGATTGGGGCTATTAGAAAGGGCATATGGGAAGATCACCCAGGGTTTATGTTGGAGCAGGGTCAGACAATAAGGAGCATGTCTGAGAAAGAGAGCTATACATATTTGGGATTAGATCAAGCAAGGGGTATCAAACACAAAGATATGAAAGAAGCTCTAAGGCAAAGATTAACGAAGGGTCTAATCAATACTTAAGACTCATCTGTCCGCAATACACAAAGTAAGGGCCATTAACACATATGCTATTCCGACAATAACATATAGCTTCGGAATAATCAAGTGGACAGACTCTGACTTAGAGCAGCTAAACAGAAACATAAGAGTCTTATTTACAAATCATAGAGCAAGACATCCCAAGAGTTCGATCGAAAGATTCTACTTGCCAAGATCCAAAGGAGGACGAGGCGTGATTGACCTTAAAGCAGCTAACCTGCGGAATATAGAAAACCTCAGGAGATTATTTTATAGAAAGGCGAAACATCTGCATATCACAGAAATATAGCTTCAGCTGACTACAAGTTCACACCACTGAACCTGTCGGATGAACAGTATGAACCTCTACCCATGTGTCCACCGACGAACAATGGTATCATCAATGGAAGTCCAAACAGCTTCATGGAAGACATCCAGCCATGCTCAGCTCAGATCACATTGATGCAGAAGCGTCACATGGATGGCTGAAAAGTGGGGAGCTATTTTCGGAAACTGAAGGATTCATGATTGGCATTCAAGATCAGGTGACACCAACCTTAAACTATAGAAAATACATCATGAAAGAAGAAGGCATTGAAGATAGATGTCGTATATGCCATAACAAGTCGGAAACAATAGAGCATATCCTGACGAGCTGCACTCCCCTAGCTTCCACTGAGTATCTGAAGCGCCACGACAACGTGGCTAAAAGTTCACCAAGAAATTTGTTATGCTGCGAACATACTAACTGACCGCACCCCATATTACAAGTACCAGCCGACTCCAGTTATAGAAACTAACAGCCATAAAATATACTGGAATAGAACAATTCAAACAGATCACACCATGGAATACAACAAACCAGATATCGCAGTTCAAGATAAAATGAAGCAAGTACCTGCATAATTGACATTAGTATGCCTGCCCCACATAACATAGCTGAGAAGCAGACAGAAAAGGTTCGCAAGTACTTACCACTAGCTGCAGAAGTAAAAACACTGTGGAATCAAGAAAAAGTTGAAGTCATCCCAATAGTGATCGGAGCCACAGGAGAAATACCTAAGAGTCTACATAAATATATTGAGAAACTAAATCTGCCACAGAAACTATACCTCTCACTTCAGAAAGCTGCCATCTTAGGTAGTTGTCATATAGCACGCAAGGTCCTGAATGTAGCCACATAGACAAAGAGAAACCAATAGTCACACTCAGACGCTTGCAGTATAATGCCGCGTTTGAGGATACCACCTGCAGTAGCAGAGAATAGCTAACAGAAAACGGAATAATTATAATAATAATAATTAATAATAATAATAATAATAATTATAATAGTAATAATTATAGTAATATAATAATAATAATTAATAATATGATAATGATAATAATTATAATAATGGTAATTATAATTGATATTGTAATAATAATAAAATAATTATGATTATAATAATAATAATAATTATATACTAATAGTGATAATAATATAATATGTCTGCTAATTGAGGTATCTGTACCAGACGACAACAACGTCAACACCAAAGAAGCGGAAAAGGCCAGAAAATACAAAGACCTCGAAATCGAAATATCGCGCATGTGGAAGACAAAGACAAGAACGGTACCCGTGACATCGGAGCTTTGGGGACTGCCACTATGTCATTCAAGAACAACATAAAAGAACTCCCCGGAGATGTCTTTGCAACACAAGTTCAAAAGATAGCACTGCTAGGAACAGCCCACATTTTGCGGAAAACCCTTTCCGACTAAAGACCTTAGAACTCAGGCAGAGTTCCGGTCAAGCTCATCCCTTCCTCTAGGAGTGAAATACAGAATGATTAATAATAATAATTACAATAATTATAATATAATAATAATACCAAAAATTTATAATAATAATTATAATATAATTATAATAATAATAATAATAATGATAATAATAATAATAATGATAATCTAATGTCTGGCCGGTTAGGACACTGTTGCCCAGTGTCAAACCCGCTACCGTAGCAACAACAAGGATAGACGGTACAGCCAGCGATCCTCCAGTGTGTGCAGGGTTTTTGTGTCTCTTCCTCCTGGTGCAGGAAAACATATCATGTGCAGAATGTGTACATATCGGCTCCTAGATGGAGTCGTATAAAAAGAGCCACACCCATAATTTCTTTATGGAGATGAATTTTGAATATAGCCTCGGAAAAAGGTCGCTGCCTGAGGGTGATCGTCAGGGCATATCTGGAGCCGGCGCTGGATATGACAGCATGCGGGACGTCGGTGGCAGGGTGCTGAGGAGGCGGGCCCCTGTCGTCCAAGAAGCAACAGCCCCCCAACAAAGTGGTAGCCAAACAACAACTAGTGCCACCGCTGCCGAAAGTGCTGCACAGGAATCTCAGCCAGTGCTCACTCAAGCAGGTCTCCCTAGAAGACGTATAAAGTGGACGGTGTCCATGAATGAGTCAATCATGCGAATCTTCTACAAAGTTACCAACCTAGGTAGAGAAACAATCGGCTACAGACCACGACTTCATACCGCTTTCTGTAGTGAATATCCGGAGATCAAAGTATCTCAGCAGAGAGTGGCAGACCAATATCGAGTGATAATCAAAAATAATCTTATCCCACAACCACGGCTGAATGCCATCAAACAGGAAGTGCAGCTTGATCTTATGCAACAAGAAGGGAGTAATAACGAAATACGCGATAATGGTCAATCTGAGCAAGAACAGATAGAAAGTGAACAGCCTGGAGTTGACGACAGTAATGATCAAGACACAGAAATATTTGGTATATTAATAACTGAAATGGGTAGAGCATATGCCGAATTTGATGGAACGAACCCGCTAGAAAGACCACCATTACCAAAGTTGAAGTCATCTAGAAAGCTTGCTGTGGTATTGTGTCAGTTAAATAAACAGATCCTGCCAGAGTATCTAGCACACTCCAACTGTATAGAACAACTTCACACACTGATATACTGTGCAGCTGTTGCAACAGTAAGAACACTTGGTGTCAAAATGCCAACTCAAAAGATTACTGAAAATTCAGTAAAACCAATAACACCAAAATGGGAAAAACGTCTGGAAAGAAGAACGGCAGAAATTCGCAGAGATATCGGACGTCTTACCCAATTCACACGAGGAATAACAACTCGAAAAGTCCGAAAGCAAGCTATGGAAATAATGCAACGACTCCACCATCATTCTCACCAAGACGCAACTAACATCAACGAGTGGCAATGCCTTGATACCTTGAAGCAAAAACTGTCCGTATATACTCAGCGATTGAAAAGGTATAAAGCGTCCAGTCACAGAAAGCACGACAATGCGCTCTTTCAACGATCCGAAAAGGCATTCTACAGGAAACTGTCATCCGAACCCCAGGAAAAGAGCAAAACGGTGCCCACAAAGGACCAAGTAGAGGAATTTTGGGGCAAGCAGTTTGGCTCGACAGCTTATTACAACAAGTGTGCAGGATGGATTACAGATGAAGAAGCGAAGAGCCATTATTGCAATCCCATGCAGTATAGGGCATATACCAAACAAGAAATCGTGGATATCGTTAAGCAGTTGCATAATTGGAAGGCCCCGGGCCCAGACCAGATTCATGGCTACTGGATAAAGAAGCTTTGGTGCATGCATGAACAACTAACAAGATATATCAATGACATGCTTTTGAATCCAAATAAGACTCCAACGTTCCTAACACAAGGGCTAACGGTATTAATACCAAAAGATCACAATAATACAGAAGACCCAGCAAAATACCGCCCAATTACCTGCCTTCCTACGCTATACAAGGTGGTCACTGCTTGTATATCGAAGCGAATTTATGCTCATTGTGAAGAAAACGATATTATTGCGCCACAACAAAAAGGCTGTGCTAAGGGAGCTATGGGATGCAAAGAACAGCTGGCTATCGACTCAGTCATCTGTAACCAAGCCTATACCAACAAAAGGAACCTATACATTACGTACATCGACTATCAGAAGGCATACGATTCTGTACCTCATGAGTGGCTTGTCAGGGTGCTGAGGCTCTATAAGGTAGATGAGCATGTAGTGGCCCTATTAGAACATATGCTGAAGACCTGGAGAACCAGAATAACACTGCATACAAACGGGACCAGCACCATTCAAACTGAGACGATCTCTATCCGAAGAGGTCTCTTTCAGGGTGATTCATTAAGTCCCCTATGGTTTTGCCTAGCTATAAATCCCCTCTCAAACCTCTTAAATGCAACAGGGTATGGATATAGTCTGAAAGATAACAGGAACGCATCCATAAAACTGAACCACTTGCTGTATATGGACGACCTAAAGGTAATAGCTGCTACTGAGAATCAAATGAAACAGCTGCTAGAGATAGTCGGTCAGTTCTCAGATGACATAAGTATGCGATTTGGGATGGATAAATGCAAAACCTTATCTATACGTAGGGGGAACATCTACCCTGGAGGATTTTCAAGCTGCAGAGGCCAAAACATTGACGCAATGGACGCAAATGACACATACAAGTACCTTGGAATGGCGCAGGCCCGAAGGATAGACCATAAAAAAATGAAGGAAGCTATATCGCAGACCTTCACAAAAAGAATACGGCTACTTCTGAAAACAGAACTCAATAGTAAGAATCTAGTCAAGGCGATTAACACCTACGCATGCTCTGCCTTGAACTACTCGTTCGGTATAGTTCTGTGGAGTAAAACTGACATCGAGAAACTAGAGAGGCGGGTAAGGACTATGCTAACAAAAAAAGGAGCGCACCATCCTCGCAGTGCAATAGAGCGCACAACCTTACCCCGACAGTTAGGAGGAAGAGGTCTAATGGACATCAGCAAGCAGCTAGCTCAACAGGTACTCGCCTTGCGATCCTACTTCTTTGAGAAGGCCGAGATCTCTGAGCTGCATCGCATCATATGCTCAATAGATGACACAACGCCCTTACACCTTAGTAGACGAGATGACCAACCGAGTCACCAAACCAACGAACAGAAGCTACAACGATGGATTGAAAAACCTCTACATGGGAGACATGCCAACGAGATTAGCCAAGAAAACGTTGACAAGAAAGCGTCAAACTATTGGCTTACCTCAGGCCAAATGTTCCCTGAGACTGAGGGATTCCTTGTAGCTATACAGGACCAGGTCATTCCTACCAACAATTACAAGAGGTTCATACTTAAGAACTTGCAACAGTCTGATAAATGCAGGTACGGCTGTCAGGACTCCGAAACAATACAGCACGTAACTGGTGGATGCCAAGCATTCGCTCCAACGGACTATAAGGAGCGCCACGACATAGCTGCCAAAATCATTCACCAGGAGTTGGCATACAAATTCAAACTGATCGAATGCAAGCTACAGTACTACAAATATACACCGCAATGTGTCCTCGAGAACGACAAGTATAAACTATACTGGGATCGCACTGTGCTTACGGACCAATACATAAAACAAAACAGACCTGACATAATCATTGTCGACAAGGACGCCCAGAAAGTAACACTGATTGATGTGGCCATACCTAATAGTAACAATTTAACATACAAACATAATGAGAAAGTTGCAAAATACAGGGAGCTAGAATTTCAAATTAAACGCCAGTGGAAAATGAAGTACGTGGAAACAATACCAATAATAATGTCATCTACAGGGGTGATACCAAGAAGGCTGCTAGAAAACATCAAAGCGCTGGAACTGAGTGAAAACATTTACAAAATCATACAGAAAGGAGTTTTGCTGGCAACTGCCCGCATAGTAAGAAAATTTATGGGAAATGCAAGTACCTAGGGAGGTCACTATTGAGGCTTACCCCTTTGATGCTTGAAGCGTCCGGGTTAAGCCAGAACACCCCGATTAACGGGAGTAACAAAGCCCTACGGCTATTTAAAATAAAATAATAATAATAATTAATAATAAAATAATAATAGTAATAATAATAAGATAATTAAATAATATAATAATATAATATAATAATAATAATAATAATAATAATAATAATAATAATAATAATATAATAGTAATATACAATAATTATAATAATAATAATCATAATTATAATAATAATGATAATAATAATAATATACATACCATACCCATACCATACCATACGATTTATTGACCACCTATACATAGAGATATATGTTTGAAGTCACAAACTAGATAAAGTTTATACAGAGTCTGTCTTCTTGCTCTACACACGATCACTGATCACTAGGATCACATGCACTTAAATATTCACTTACAGTATAGCAGCAGTTTCTTAACAAATAGTTTTTGACAAACCTAGAGAACTGTTTGTTAGACATCTTCTCAATATTGGACCGCTTATGATATCTAACAAAGTTATTGTAAAGCGACACATTAATCTTGTTGTGTTGTGTCATGGCGATCCTAGATTGCGGTAATGATATATCATTAGCGTATCTTGTATTATAGCTGTGTGTCTCTGATCTTATCGAAAAAGTACTCAGGTTTGCGTGAACATGTAAAAGGGTCTCATGTATGAGCAGGCATGCTAACGGCAGTATGCGCATCTCTTTGAACAAACCGCGGCACGTATGATCGTAGGAGACGCCAGCTACAATCCGTATAGCAGCCTTTTGCATTGTAAATGCTTTTTGGGCATTGACAGAATTACCCCAGAGGATGATACCATACGACAGATGACTATGAATGAGGCTAAAGTATACAGTTCTCCTGGTTTGTCTGTGCAAACACTGAGCCAGTTGCCGCATGATAAACATCTGTCTGGAAATCTTGGTACAAACCTGGTCCACATGCTCCGACCAGGTCAAGCGGCTATCCACAACGATCCCTAATAACTTTACGGATGATGAAGTCTCATTCCATTTGTCTGATGTTATTCTTAGCTTGCTGGTTTTCGCTTCATTAAGTTTGAGCTTGTTTGCGGAGAACCACCACTTAACCTGGTCGAGACTGTGGGCCTCGTCAAGTTGGGTAGCCTTGGAGAGCAGAGTAGTGTCGTCTGCAAAAAGGTAGCATTTGCTATTGTTGACATTTTGTGGGAGGTCATTGATGTAGATTAAAAATAATAGAGGGCCCAAGACAGAGCCCTGGGGTACCCCGTTCGTAATCGGTAGAACCTGGGATTCTACTCCATCAAGGCTAACCATCTGTCTCCTATTAGCTAAGTATGATCTCATAAGCTGTGATGGCTTGCCACGGATCCCATAGTACTCCAATTTGTCAAGCAGTATAACTGCGTCTACACAGTCAAAAGCCTTGGTTAAGTCACACATAGTTGCTAGAGCGGTGGTTCTCTTGTCAATGCACAATAATGCATCCTCAAGAAAACTAAGAATGGCTTTAATGGTTGAACAGTGCTTTCGAAAACCAAATTGGGAATCTGAAAGGAGGGAGTGCTTTTCAAAGTACTTTATTAATTTTTCTTTGATTACAATTTCGAATAATTTACTTATTAATGGAATTATTGTGATTGGCCTATAGTTATCGAGATTATCTTCCCTTTCTTATGAATGGGAATGACCTTTGACAATTTAAAAGCATCAGGCCATACGCCTTCATTAACACACTATTAAATAGTATTGTTAAAGGTTCAATGAAATCCTCACTGGCTGTTTTCAACATAGCACTGTTCATACCATAGAAGTCGAGTGAGGGTGAGTTTTTTGTTGAGCTATAGCACATCTCACATCTGTTTGGAGTATCGCAGACATGAAGAACGAATGCGGTGTCTTGGGAGTACGGTTGAGGAGATACAAGTACTTAATAGTAGGCTTTTCAATGCCCTCAAGAATTTTACAAGAAATAGTACTGAAAAAACTATTGAATTCATCACTTGAGACGTTTGTGTGTTTCTGTTTCCTGATGCCTTTCTCGCTATCGACTATCTTCCAGATTGCTTTAGTTTTATTTTCCGCCTGGTGTATCATTTCAGAGTAAAAGTTCCTTTTTTCCAATTTCAATTTTTGACGGTATATTCTACGTATATCCTTATACCTCTCCCAATCACGCTCATCCCCGCTATGCGAAAACTGGCTCTTTGCGTTCACCATATCTTTCCTTAGCTGCTTCAGTGTCTGCGTATACCACTTAACGTTGTGAGCTGACTTTCCACAGCTTTTAACGGAAAACAATTATCGATACAGTTTGATATTAAACGGTAGATACTATTTGCCATGTTATCTGCAGAGTTAGAATCTACATTCATGTCGGACGCCATACTATGGATTCTGTTGGCAAATGAAACCATTTTTTTTTGTAATAATGCGTCTTTTGGGCGGTTTGATTGAATGAATCTCATCTTGTAATATAAAAAAATCACAAAAAATTCCTAAGTGGTCGGAATGTTCAAATCTATTGTCCCTGTCTCAATATTATCATTGTTCAAGTTGGTCAATATATTATCCAAACAAGACGCCGAAGTAGGTGTAACTCTGGTATTTTCATAAATACATTGACGTAAGCCAAATGAATTTGAAATATTACATAGGTGTGTCACTGTTTGAACATTACTGCTGAAATCTAAATTAAAGTCGCCAAGTATCAATAAGTTCTTATGTCTAGAATAAATACTATTCAGTAAACTATTGAAGGCATCAATAAATAATGAAGGATTTCCTAAACAAGGAGATCTATAAACAGTTATAATAGCAATATTACCAATTGTTGCCCCACAAAATTCAGCATGGAATGGAACACAAACATTATTTAAATCCAAGGGTTTAATTTGCTGATTCATTCGTGCAAATATAGCAACACCACCATGTAATCTTGGAGGGCGACAGTAAAAGGATATAAGAGAATATTGGTTTAGGTTTACCATTGCCAAATGATCATCACTAAGCCAATGTTCAGAAATGCATAATACATCTACAGGATTATCATTTAACCACAAATTGAGATCATCAATCTTGCTTGGCAAGCCCTGTACATTGATGTGAAGGGTTCGTAGGCATTGGGCGTTGTTGACCCGCTGACGTGTTTGATCTCCTTCTAGAGCGAAAAAATCGGTTGATTATTACCCCATCCGGCCATATGTCGCTCTTTAGTATATTGTCCGCTTCGGTAGCTAATAGTCACCTTGAATGATTTGTAACTTTCTGGATACCTGGCATTCAGCTCCTCGACCTGTACTGATGCAGCAAAGCCCTTCAGGTAATTGGCTAAAGCCTGCATTCAGTCTTTGTATCCAATTTTGTGACGTGGTACTGGTACTGACGGTTTTGTTGAGCTGAATTTGCTGCTTTCAGGGGGCATGCACTATCACTGGTCAATTTGCCGACTAGTAAGTTTCCAGAACGCCTCCTCCTCTCAGATTTACTTTGAGAGTTAAGTGTACTTTGCGTATTAGTACTCGCCTGTCGCACTTCATTTGACAAATTGCTGTTCCCAATCACTTGGGTGTCACTCAACATTTTAGGTGTGTGGTCTCCTTTATTTTCATCTGTGTGTTAGATCGCTGGCGCTCGAACAGCTGGTTATTTTTTGCTACCGGCGCTGAACTGGAGGAATGTGCGTAACTACTCGTAGTATGCGATTTAAATAATAATAATTATAATGATAATAATGATCATAAATTAATTAAATAATAATATAATTACAATAATAATAATAATTATAATAATAATATATTATATAATTATTAATGATTATTATAATTATAATATTAATAATAATAATAATAATAATAATAATAATAATAATAAAAATATAATGATTATAATAATAATATTAATTATAATACTAATAATACAATAATAATGATAATAATAATATAATAATTACAATAATTATAATAATAATAATAACAATAATTATCATAATAATAATAAGAATAATACTAATAATATAATGCATGGCTCCGTAGTTCTGGTCTGAAGGGCGGAAACAGAAAGCCTCTTGATTGCTGCTCAGGACCAAGCCCTCAACACACGCTATCACCAAAAGCGCATACTTGGTTGCGAAGTGGACAGTAAGTGCAGGATGTGCAATCAAGCAGAGGAGCACATAAGCCACATCGTGGCTGGATGTACCACACTCGCACCTACTGAATACACAAAAAGGCACAACAACGTAGCAAGGTATCTACACTGGCTAATGAGCAAAGGGGCTGGTATAGAGGTCTGCGATAAATATTATGAGCACACTCCAGAAAATAATAAAGTTGTAAACAATGGGGATGTTCGAATCATGTGGGATGTTCCCATTATCACTGATAGAACCATACTTGCGAACCGCCCCGGACATAGTGTATCATGATAAAAGAACAAAAACCTGCTTACAGTAGATGTAGCGGTTCCTAACGATTCGAACGTAAGTGCTGAAGGAAGCAGAAAAGTTAGCAAGTATAAAGACCTGGAAATAGAGGTAAGCAGAATGTGGAACGTTAAGACCCGAACAGTTCCAGTCATTGTAGGAGCCCTAGGGACCCTTAGAAAGGGGTTACAGACCAACCTCTCACAACTACCAGGAAAACCATCTGTTGCTGAAGTGCAGAAAATAGCACTACTTGGCACTGCTCACATTATCCGCAAGGTATTAGGGTGAATCGCTTTGATCTCGGGTAGAGATCTGGATTCGCTTAAGACTGTCACAATAGGACAAGAGGAAACACTAAAATATAATAATAATAATTACAATAATTATAATGATAGTAATAATAATAATAATTATAATAGTAATAGCTACAATAATATAATAAAATAATCATAATTATAATAATAATAATAGTAATAATATTAAAATAATAATAATAATAATAATAATAATAATAATAATAATTATAGCAATACTAATAATAATAG